TTATTACTTTGATTACTATGATGCATGTCTTGTGATACTAAACATGACGTCCTCCACCCCCGAACATTTCGAACTAGTCCCTGCAGTTGATGCGAATTGACACTTTATGCCCAGTTTTGCATTTGGGGTAAAGTTTCGCATTCGAAGTTGAATTGTCGAAACGGATCCTTGCAGAATTTGTGAAAATGACAGTTTTTACCGAATTTTCGAAATTCTTGCAACTCTCACCCAAAAGTCGAAATTTTCATAAAATTTGGAAATTTTTCTCGAATTTTCGTGCCAGATTTTTGTGGTTGCATTTTTGTCACACATCGAGGGGGAGTTTCATCAAGTTTTTTCCTCGAGCTCATCCTTTGTGGGTTTTATAATCATTTGTTGATTATAAAAAGGGGAGAATGTAGAAATGAGTATTTAAAGCTTTTCGGGTATTCCTTTTCAAAAAGGATTTGAAGACCGGTGTTACTTCGAGGGGGAGTTGGTCTTGATCGCTTGGAGCTTTTTTGGAAATTGAAGCCAGGACATCCAATCCTAGCTTTGAGGGGGGGGGGATGTTAGGGTGAAAAGTTCTCCTTGGATGTGGCTTACCCTCTTGTGATGTGTAATGGGTTTAGTCTTTCCTATAAATAGGAAGTGAGTGGCTCCCATTTTATGTAAGACCCATTTTGGAGAGATTAGACTAGTGAGAGAATTATTTCAATACCCACTTTGTAATAGCTTGCTAAATCTAATGAGAGCTTAAACAAATTTTATTTACTCTTTGTGTTCTTCATGATTGATTGATTCACTTGATCTTTACTATTTCGCACATGTTATCATAATCGGGTCAATATACTTTCATATGCTTCATCCCGAAGAGTGACATCATATTCGAGGAGTGTCATCATAACCAAGAGTACCATCATATCCAAGAGTGCCACCATATTCAAGATGCTCCGTTGAAACCAGATGCTCTAAAAGTTCAAGTCACATTTAATAAGATATCTATGTGAGATTGGTTTCTTTATCGAAACTGGGGGAGAAATTAGTATTATTTATTTGATTTGTTTGTATGCCAGGAAAAATGAATGTTGCGAGCTAAGTTAGGTTCGGTTAGCATGATGATTTGTGTGATTTGTATGTATGTCTAGAAAATTGATTAATTTCTCACAACTAAATTACAAATTAATGCGTAGAAAGGGATAACTTAACATGAAATTAGTTTGATTTGTATGTATCAAGAATGATTTGTCTCTACTAAAGGAGAAAATAATATGTAAATTAGGTTAGCTATAGAATAATTACCACCAAGCATACCACCAAGCAGTAACAACAAAATCAAAAACCAATAGCACACCCATCGAAAAAAACGAAGCTAAAAAAATTATCAGGTTCGTCATGAACGAAAATAAGTGTGGTTTTGTTCACGGTATTCGAATGATTGAATGTAAATTATAGTAAAAATGTGTTTGGTTGACAAAGTGAAAGGAACTGAATTTCTTTAAATTCCATTAAGTTCTACGTTTGAAGGAATTTGTCATTTGTGGGCTAACGGCAAAGATTTTAGATTTTATTCCTTATGTTTTATTAAAAAGAGAAAAATATCTTCACACCTTCTCTTTGATTTAAACACAATATATTAAAATAAAAACAAATTATATTTTTTTATTAAAATCAAAACAGATTTCATTCCTTATGTCCCTACCCCGCCCCCACCCATCCCCTACTCACCCACCCATACTCTCTCTCTCTCTCTCTCTCTCACACACACACACACACACACACACATCTACGCCCACAAGATTACAAGCTTATGTTGACGCAACACTCATATCCACATCTACCTCTACCTTACCCCTACCCCTATACTTATATCCACCTTACCCCCGCCTTCATACATGTACCCATACATATACCCATACCCATACCCACACCCACACCATACACATTCACATGTGTCCACACCCACACACATTTGCACATATGTTTTCCTTTTCTAGCTTTAATTCTTCTAGGGAAAATGACCAGCGATGGTAATTACCTTTTCGTCTTGTTCACGTTTAGGTAACTTTATTTTTTTTTTGTACACATTTGACCATTTAACTTGTTAAATATGTTCACATATTACCATTGTCACCTGCTATAGCAGGTGGTAATGGCAATATTGAACATATTTAACAAGTTAAATGGTCAAATATGTACAAAAAAAGAAAGTTAACTAAATGTGAACAATTTTTTTTACAAATTTCTTAAATTTTTTTATAATTTCTTACAACATTTTTATAATATTTTTTCACATATTTTTTTTACAAATTTCTTAAATTTTTTATAATTTCTTACAACATTTTTATGATTTTTTTTTTCTTATAGGTTTTTCTAATACAATGTTTTAAACTTTGTTTATAATTTTTTTCAACTTTTTTTGTACTTTCATATAATTTTAATACAAGTGCTTTTAAACAAAATATTTTATAAATGTTTTAGAATTCTTTTACAAATTTTTTACTTGTTTTTTTTACATTTTCATACAAGTTTTCTATAACTTTCATACATTTATTTCTAAACTTTTTTTATAATATTTTTAAAGTGTTTCATAGATTTTGTATGATAATTTATTTCTAAACTTTTTTTACAATATTTTTAAAGTGTTTCACAGATTTTGTATGATAATTTAATATTTTTTTATAACATTTTAAAACACTTTCATTAAATACTAGTTTAAAACGTTGTATTAGAAAAATTAAAAGTTTATAAACTTCTAAGTAAAAAGCATTAAAAAGTTGGAATAATTTTAAAACATTTACATTATATAGATTTTTTTTTGTTTTTTTTTTGTAAGTAATATTTTCTTTTTAACTTTTTAAAAGACCATCCATACTTATTGTTACATATTTAATTTATTTTATTTTATTGTTAGATGTTATTTACTTTAAAATTATTGTATATGCTTCAAAACCAAAGAAAAAAAAATATAAGAGGCTATATAAAATATTTCACAAAACAAAAACATATTTATTAATTAAAAAATAAAGTTTAAAATTGATAAACATTTAATTAATATTTAGGAAATTATGGATATTTTAAAAATAACGTTTGAAAAAAATAATACAAACAAATATGAAAAATAAAATCGCTATTAAAACTGGGGAAAATGACTTATCAGGGTTATTAATTTTTCGTTTTGTTCACATTTAGACAACTTTTTTTGTACACATTTAACCATTTTACTTGTTAATTTGTTCACATATTACCACTGTCACCTGCTATAGCCGGTGACAATGGCAATATGTGAACACATATAACAAGTTAAATGCTGAAATGTGTACAAAAATAAACAAGTTACATAAATGTAAACAAAACGATAAAGATGATTACCCTTGTAAGTCATTTTCCTATTCATCTAATATGGATCCAACTCCGAACTAACCGGCCCTAAACCTAGCCCCTAAGCAAGATATCACTATTTATTTTTATCCAAAATGTAATCTTATATTTTGTTTTGAAAAACTCTATTCTTTTTCTTTCTATAATATGTGCAAATTCAAAAAAACATAGGGATTAACGGGTAAAAGTTTAATAAATGAATTTTAATTAAATGAAATCTTTTATTATTTTTACTAAAAATAATAATACGTTGCAAAAAATCAATAAAATTACATTTTTGTCATATTATATAATTTACTTTCAAATTTCTTTGACAAATCTACAAACCAAACAAAACCACTTTCCATTTTATCTCAACAAAAAGCATCACAAAATTCAATTCTTTGTATTCCAATTTTAGATTTCATTCTTTCCAAAAACAGCCTAAAAATTTATAATAGGTTAACCATAATATGACTCCTAGTAGTTTAAAAAAACAATTAATAAATAATTAAATCAAATCAACCAAGTATAATCAAAATAACGCTAATTTCTAACTACACTTTCAACACATAACTTAAAAAATGCCCAAATTTAAGGAAAATAGTCTCAAAATGACATCTCTCCAAAACTCAAAAGGTTTGGTGTGTTTGGCGTGCCACAGCTAGCTTATTTTTCGAGTTTTTTTTAGTTGTCATGTTTGGTAAGCCAAAAATTAACTTGTAAGCTGGCTTTTTAAAAAGCCACTTATACTAGCTTTTTAAGAGTTTTTTTTAAAATTTTCCAAATATACCCCTTAATTAATTATAAAAACACATTCTTTTAAATGTCATTTCATATTTTTCACCTAGCTTTTTAGCTAGTTTTACCAAACATCATTTTTTATCAGTTAGCCTTTTATTTAACAGCCAGTTTTTCAGCTAGTAAGCCAAATATAACCTAAGAAAGTATGTCTTCATTATAGTCAAATTATAAAACAGAAGCAAACCAAACAATCATTGTTCAACAAGAAAATCAAAACCACTGAAAAAAAAGTCGCCAAAACTCTTTTTTTTTTAATTGAACTATTATATACTGTATAATAATAATTAGGAATACAATCTTCCAAAAAAATGTCTATATTTTAACATATCTACCTATCAAAATACCTCATCATGTTGCTTTATGCTGATTCACAAATGACCAAATTATAATCTTTTTCACTCTGATTGCATTTTCTTAATATCATGTTTTATCTGAAGAGCAGCCCTAACAACATCTCCCCTTGTAATAAGTCCAACCTATTTATCAAAATCACAACAAATAAATAAATAAATAAATATTTATTTATTGGTTGTAAAATCTTACCAGTTTCCCATTATCATCGACTACTGGCAGCCTACGGTATTTTGTTTCAAGCAACAACCTATTTTTATAAAAATCAATATAGTTAAAATAAAAATAATAAAAAAATAAATACGAAATTTAATTGGAAAGAAAAATTAAGAGTGATTAATACCTTACAGCTTCTTCAAGGTTTGTGGTGTCATGAACTACAAGTGGAGCAGGTGTCATCAAATCTCCCACAACTTTTCCATCAGTTTTACCAAGTAGTTTTTGAATCTCATTGAATGTCTATAAATAAAACAAATATGTTATATTTTATATAATAAATCAAGAACAAAAATACAACAAAAGTGTCATATGAATCTTGAAAATTAAGGATTTTTGACATACTTTCCAAGAACTATCCACATCAGGAAACAAGCTTGTGTCACTGTGACTACCACCTGAAAACCAAAAAAAAGTTCAAAAAAATCAAAATCATAAAACAAAAAATAAAAATAAAAATCATCATTCACATGGATACTTAAAGTAGTCTGAATGAGACTAAATGACCATTTTACCCTTATTTCCAGAAAACAAGTTTTAGGGTATTCATAGACTTTAATGCAAAAGGAGTTGGGAGGAAAAAGAAGGGCAAATATGTAAAAGGTCAAGTGTCTTAATATATTAAGCTTAGTTTTTTGGCTTAACCCATTAAGTCATTATGTCCAGATTAAGTCAAGAAGAAACAGTCCTTAATGATAAAAATAGTACCTGATATTGAATCAAGTGCTAACAAGTCATAATCTGAAACGACACCAACCTGAAGACATTTAGAAAGAGAAAAAGTAATGATAAGTTCTTAATTCAATGATCAATTCTATTGCTTTAACTCAAGCTACAAAAGATGAAGATATGAAGAACATAACATACCAAATTCCAATCAGCATCAACAACTGGAAAGCCTGTGATTCTTTTCTCAACAAGAATCTCTAAAGCTGTTGATATAGAACATAAAAATGAGATGAAATGTTTAATCTGTAAATTTCCATAGCAAAACTTACCCTTATCAACTGTAGTTGTTGGTTCTACCACAAGTAAGTTGGCTTTTCTTGTCATAAACTCAGCAACTGTATATGTTCCATCTCTTGTCTGCAAATTGATGCAATGAAACATATTAAGGAAAGAATTATGCTGACGTGACATGTAGAACAAGTTTGTTAACTCTTCCCCTAACAGGCTAAAATCATCTCATCTGCTAACAATCAGCCTACTAGAATATGTCATATAAAATAGCTAGTAAGATGCATGTTTATGGAGATGAAGTGTTAGTAATTTAGGTATAGAAGTAACAAGCATATTCAAATTTACAGAAAACTTCAGCTCCTAACACACTATTTAATCAAAGCTCTGTGATTTAGTTTTGAAGTGAAGATCCCTTGCTACAAATTCTAGAGCTGTAAAAGTTGCTTCACAACTGCTACAAATTCTAGGTGTTATAGGTTTGTAACCAATTTTGGTTCATTTTCGAGAATCATGTAAAGCTTGTAATACATCTGGTTCAAGTTCCCTGTCGTTCACTATTACAGAGAAGATAATATCACAAGTAAAAGCAAGAATGGCCAGCGTATTGCACAGAGACATGAAAGTAATGCGAAAACGATTGAAAAAGACTTTAATGAATGAAATCGCTCTTCATACAAACTCTATAGCACCTGACACAAATCATTCACAATAAAATAAAACAGAAACTACAAGTCACTTTTAATTTGCATATCAGATCTGAAAGGTAAAGCTGACAACGACATCACATTAACACATAAACAAATTCCGAGTAAAAAACTACAACAAACATCATCCTTACAGGCGTGGAATTAGTCTTATCAGCAGCGACAGAATGAATGGCAGCCAAACGGCTATGATCGCGATCGGAGAACCGTGGTAACGAACGAGTAGAGAAAAATAGCCGCACGCTAGTCTTTGAGGTTGTACACGGTATTCGACGATCTCCTGCAGCGGATACAACGCCGGAAATACAGCCCGCCGGTAGGATGATCGAGTCCATTAGAAATTTCGCGAATCAAAGAGAAATTGCGTGTGTAATTGTGTCAGAGAGAGAGAGAGAGAGAGAGAGAGAGTCACATTATGTGCGCTGAAGGTGTGAAAGTAAAGTGGGGTTCGAACAGAGAATTGGATGCGTTTCCGTGGTGAAGGTGGACACATATCGACAGTGAAAGCCTCCAAGTAGGTCGCTGAAAATTCAAACCGCCAAACAACAAAAGTTTCTTTGGTTCATGATTATGATTATATCACAATATTATATGAAAAAATCTTCAAAGAACCACAAGATGACAAGAAAGAATAAAAATGTAAGAATTGTTGATCTTGTTTTAATATAACAAGTTATATTTTGACATTTATATATGTATATACTATATAGATTGTCTTATTAAATTCATTTTTATCTATCACATGTTTTTGTTTAAAGAAAAAAAGACCAATTTAGTCTAATCTCATTAGTCATAAGCATATTCCAAACAAAATAGCTAGGTGGGCTTCCTACTAAAATACATTTTTGCTGCGAAGTTGTTGTAATTCCACACTTATTTTCATAAGGTTTCTGCAAAAATATAGTGGGCCTATAATTTTTAAGTATAAAAAACAAAAAAATTATATTTAACTTTTCTTTTAAAAAAAATGAACTTAGAAATTCTCTCATGCAAGGCTGAAACACTTATAGGAGAAGGTCAAATCACAAAGTATCTCAGAAATTGTAAGGTTGCATTTGGCAAGAACACCAAAGTCGTTTCTAAGACTATTAAGTATGAGCAACTTGAAGTGATGTTATAACAAGAAGCAACAAAAAAAGGGGGTGATGTTCATGGTGTTATAACACCCGTTAAGAGGATAGAGATAGAAAGAGAGAATTTGTGCAGCCAATAGAAGATCACGTTTCATCTAGTCATGACCACAACAAGAAACAACACAACTAGATACAACAAGAAGGGGATGGTGTTCATCTTATTATGACTATTATGAGGTGTCACATCAGCAATAATAGCATTTCTCGTTGCCTATACCATATGCTCTAAGTTTAAGTTTGGTAGAAATGATATAAAAAAAAAACAAAATTAATGTTGTTAGATCGGGTACATAAATTATTTTTGAATATCAACCAAATAAAACAATAAATTGCAGGACCAAATTTGCAGTAACTTTAAATTGATTTGATTTATGATACACATTGGATTAGGATGATACATGATATTTTATTATTCATAATTAATCAAAGTTTTTCATATAGATTTCACGATATCATGATGATTCACAGAAGGTTACATTGTAGGTTAGGCGATGTTACAAATTGGAAACGATTATAAAGTGTGACGATAAATCAAGTTCTTCGTGATCATATTGTTTATGATATTTTTATAATAATTTGACCTTATATTCGCTCGAATATCATAGATTTTGTAGTAGCATAGTCCAAACAAATGATAATTTCTTTTTTAAGCAAAAAACAAGAAATCCTTTCGTATGCAGATTCTTATGCTTCTAATAGAATCCGGTCATTTATTCTAATACTTCACAACAAAACAAAATAAAACCCATCATTTCAAAACTATAGCAATAAAAATAAACTAAATAAATAAAAGATGAACACATCTCATGACTCATAATCATTACCATTGCCCAACAAGGAAACTAACTGCACAAGTACACAAGATGCTAAATAGTTACCCTTTTTATATCACTTCCAAATTACATAAACATTTTATATATTTATGCTCTTTCCCCACCCTCCCACAACACAAACCATATTCACACAAACTAACATTTACATCAATATCACAAAACCAACTTAAATTATGGTTTAATCATGATAAACAACTAGTCTCTTGTTTATCTTCGCCAAAATTACGAAACCTCCACCAATCAAATGTCGGCAATTTCAGTCTTCTTAATAATCGAATTATGAGGGTTAGTCAACCACACATGAACTGCTTCACACAAAGCATAACAAACTAAACCCAAGGCATCCTAACCATGTGTACCTAAAGACCTTTGAGTTGATCACTAAAAGGTATCCAAATACACGAAATACCCCTCGAGCTAATACATAAGGTATTCATCGTGTAACACCCAAAATTCATGGAGCCGTGAGAAGTTGTTGTCTTGTATGCGTTCAAATTTTAGTACTCGTCAGGTGGCATCCACTACACACGTGGTCCATCGTTACTAGTCGGGTCCAGATTTTGAGGAAAATGAGACAGAGGGCCCAATCTTGGTATAGTAGGAAAACGAAGCTTTCATCCAATGGGACCCATGTTGGTACGATAATTACAAGCTCAAAGATGGGACCGATTAATAACGGGAATATGATATTTTTTGGGTATTTCTTGTTTTTATTTGTTTAGATATACATAATGAGGGTGTTTGGTCTTTTACTTAAAAAAAAAAAAAAACAGAAATAGAATGTTGAAATCCTTTAAACATGGAATTTGAAAGATTTTGAAGTAATTGAATTGTATCCACATGCCGGCTAAACACACCATAGAATGGAACCTTGAATTTCAGTTCAGTCAAATTTCATCATAATCCCAACCAAGCACACCTTAAGGGACGTTTAGTTTGTGGATTCCAATAGAATTTTGCGGAATTGGAATTCAAGATTCCATTCATTACATGTTTGGTTGCTAATTGACAAAATTCAATTCCTTCACTCCTAGATTCAACTATTCATGCAATTCATCATTCCTTCCAAGTTTCGAAGGAATTCAATTTCATTCTTTTCCTTGTTTGTTAAAAGACCAAAATACCATTCATACTAAAAAAGAATCTATCATAAGTTATATCGGGCCGTGTAAAAGTAAGATACTTGAGAGCTCCAACTAAGTTGCGATAGAGAGTGGGATCCTCAACATGTTATCCAAAGTCGTCAAGTTTGGCGAAAGAGTTAGAAGACGTGATAAACAATAGATGTGGAAAGAGGAAACAACCAATAGACATTTCCGAGTAGTTATTTTGTATTTGGTAAATGTTTAATGTTTATATATAGATTATGGATTTATGGATGTTAAAATTAATGCTTAGTTGGTATTTAAACTACAATTATACCATTGTTTATGTTTGTTTTTTATTTTAAATGTTTCTTTTTTTATCTCACAAGAAAATTTGTAGTTCATGTCAACTTGTTTTAGATGTATACCCGTGTGTATAAAAAATACAACACACTCAAGATTTTGTTCACTTCATATTAAATAATGTATTTTTATAACTTATAACTTTGTGATGATCGATTAATACCAAATCAAATTAACAAAGATAATGATGTAACATAAATATGATAGGTTTATAGTTATCAACATAAAGTTGAAAATGAATCACATATGTATGAAAGTTTTATACTTATCAACATAAAGTTGAAAAAAATGAATCCTTAGGCTGGTCGGAGTGGGAGGTTCCATACAATGCAATAGGTGACGTGTCATCGTGGTTTTTTTTTAACGGTTGAAATATATAAACGAAAACAACCTAGCAAGGAACTAGGGAAAAACAATTACAAAGAGACACGGTGCATTGGGTTTTGTAACCACAACGTCTAAGTTATGGTATTGTTACCACATCTATGAGAAAACCAATCAAACGAATGTGAGACAGTGTTATAAAAAAATGGAGCTTATCTTCAACTTGATGCTTTGGAACACAACACCATTTCGAACCGTCCAAATCGTTGTAAGAACAATGACCTCCACTGCCTTCTTCTTTGAATGCAACAAACTATTTGAATCCATCCAATTGCAAATATTAGCAACATTGTTGAATAAAAGGAAGGGTAAATCAAGACACTTTAACACTCTTCTCTAAACATTCATGGCTACATCATAGTGAACAAACACATGATGGGAATCTTCCACTTGTAACTCACATGAAGGACAAATAATCGAAGGAATATCAACTTTTCTTTCCATCAAGTTTACCATGTAAGGAATTCAATCCAACAACACCCGCCATAAGATGATATTTAGTTTTAAAGGGACTAAACGACACCAACGAGTCACACCTCCACCATCTTGCAACAAAATATCATAAATATGGCATAGCATGGAATTAACCACAAAAACACCATCCGGGCCTAATTCTCACTCCCATTTATTCGTCCGGTCTGTGAGGATCACCTACGACAAACAAGACAAAAGATCCGAGAATTGAGAAGTAGTCATCCGTCCCACCCCCCCCCCCCTCACGTAACGGTCTATTCTAGTTCCACTGAAACATCCCAAAAAATATAGTCCAGAAATTTCATTTTAAATCAGTAATAAAAACCATCAATATTATCCATCACATAAAAGTCACAACCATGTATCTCAAAAGTATCATAATATCTGTCAATGTATCAAAATCATATGCCAAAAATCAGAGTAAATTCCTCTCAGGATAAAAGTTGTGGTGTGTGTCATGCAGTCATCCCGAGCTCTTCCCTTTGCTATCAGAAGTACCTGAAACCAAAACTGAAAACTGTAAGCATGAAACTTAGTGAGTCTCCCCAACTACCACATACCATACACATTTCACATAAACATATCTTGGGCCCCGCCCCTGCTACATCGAGTCAAGCTCGACATCGGCTTTTCCGGCATCGGGCCCCGCCCGGCATCGGTCCCCGCCCGGCATTGAGCCTCGCCCGACATCGAGCACATCTCAGAATACATATGAGCATAATCAATAATACACATAAACCTAAGTATATAACATTAACACTTAAACATTCCTCGGGCCCCGCCCGGCATCGGACCGTAATCTGGTAACATACTAACATTCATCAGGACCGCACCGGCATCGGACCGATGTCCGGAAACATACAATACAAACACATGCAAGAATCACAAAGACATCAAGCATACAAGCATTCCTTGGGACCGCCCCGACATCGGATCGAAATCCGGAAAAGCATATAAACCTACATCGGGCCCCGCCCGGCATCGAACCATAGTCCAGAACTACTACTAGCTAAACGGGCCGGCCTTGGTGCCTTAGACCCGTTCCTACTGGAGGAAACTCACCTCGAATGCTAGCTGTGAAATCTCGTGTGAGGAATCTCTGATGGCTGCTCCAACGACTCCCCGACTATCAATTTCACAATAGCACTTAATCAAAAATATGATAATCCTTCTCAGGGTAGAATGACCATTTTACCCCTGGTCAAAGTCAACATCTTGGTCAAAGTTAAAGTCAAGGTCAACTCCCAGTTAACTCAACTCGTTGAGTTA